ACTCGAACGATGAATCAGAGGAGAACCTGCCAGCAGCTGCCGTCCCGTCCTAAATCACTGATTAACTCCAACCACCCGGCGGAGAAGTTATTTAATAAACAAGTCATTGCTAATTAGGTATGAAAGCAGCTTGGGGATTGTGCCGCGTCCCAAGGCGTCTCGCAGGAGCGGGGCTTTTGCTGACCTGTGCTGGGAAGCGCAAAGAGAGGGGATTTGAACCTCTTGGAACAAGTTAAGCATTGAATGACGCTGCCCTGATGCTTCACGCCGACCCCGGCAGCGCATGGGCTGGGTCCCTGTGGGTGCTAAAATTCACTGCTGGTGGCTGCAAACGAGGCACAAGGCGCTTGTTGCTGGGTTCCTGCAGCGTCGTGGTTTGGTCAGAGCATCCCACCCCCAGCAGCGCGGCAGGGTGCTGGTTTGCATCCCAATCCAGTGATCCATTCCCGCCTCTGGCCGTTCCCAACACCCCATCCCTGGGCATCCCTGAGCACCGCGGGACGTTGCAGGAGCTCCCGGCGGCTTTGCACCGGCGTGGTGCCCGAAGCCCGGGGTGGTCACTGGCGGTAGGTACTTGCTGTGGGGTCAGACACCATATTGCTTGTTTCTAAGCCCCCTCGGCCGGCTTTAATCCGGCTGTTTTGGCTGCTGATTAGAGCGGCTCTTCCCGGGATTACCCGTCCCTGCCCACCGCGGGGCTGCTGGGTGCCGGCTGCCGTGGCCCCGGAGGTGTGGGGGCGCGGAGGGGCCCCGTAGAAAGGGCTGTCGGTGCCTTTGGTGCACCCACGGGCAGTAAGGAGGGCTGGAGGCATTTTCTTAAAAAATAGCCAGAAGATGGACCATGGAGTAGATGCTTTTATTTTATTTTGTATTTTTTTTTGAGAAGCTTTAAGGAGCTTGTCAGACCCACAAGGGGGGAGCTGGTGGGGCTGGGACCCCCCTCGGGGTGATGGGGACAGGCAGTGTCACCGCTGCCAGCCAGGCATAGGTGTCCACAGGTT